ATGTTTGATGTTTGTGGGGGCTTCCAAAACCAATTGGAGCCGTCGCTGTGACCAGGACAGTGCTTAACCAAAAAATTGGGATTTCAAGGAAGGTGGCAGGGGAGATCCTTTACGCTGGTTGTGGTCACCTGTTGCAGCTCCGCTGCCACCATCAGATGCCTGATTCCAGTTCCTCAAACCTGTAATTCCTCCTGATTCTGGTGGGAGCTGCCCAAATTTGGCTTTTCTTGGGATTTTGGCTGCTGGAAGCCAAAGCCATGCTACTGGGCCACCTGTCCCCCGCTGTTGCTGGGGCACTGGGCTTCCTGAGGGATGCGTCCATCAAATCCTTTGGCTTCCTCTCAGCACTGTGATGAGGATTGGCTTTTCTCCGGAGGACAGAAAGAGGATTATTAGCTAGGATTAGGCTGATAATTTCCCAGGTTGTTAGCTTGTGAGGGCAGAGGGGAGGTTGGAAACGAAGGTGCTTCTTAGTATTTCCTGTTGCTAACCGATCTCCAAAGCAGTGGTGGACTTCCACTTTGTTCTTCCAGCATCTCGCAAGCTCCAGCTGCTGAAAAATCAGTTTTAAAACCCAGGTGAAGGGAAAACATTCCTGCCTGGTGCTCACAAATCAAGTAGGGAGTCTCTCAGTCTCCAGTCCCGTTTGTTTATCTGTCTTTATCTTAAAAATATTAACGGTCACCTTAAGTTTACAAATGAATCCTTAGCTGTTCTATCAGAAAAATGCACATGGCAAAATTATCATTTTATATGACAACGATGAGAGGTTAGCCAGCCAGGCTGCGACAACCATGTGCGAGAGGGGCTTTGAGAACTTGTTCATGTTATCTGGAGGTAAGAGGGGACGGGCATGAGATTCCCTGAGATCTCGGGTGGGTAGAGAGAGAGGGTTTTGTGAGCTGGAGGTTGGAAAGATCTGGATGTTCAGCTCTGTTGAGTATTTTATTTGTATCTGGTAAAATCACCGATCCCACCTTAGCTGGTGGTCACCGGTAACGTGTGATCTGTGTGTCTGCAGGTCTGAAGGTCCTTGCACAGAAGATCCCAGAGGGTCTGATCACCGGCTCGCTCCCCGCGTCCTGCCACATGGCAGCTCCCACGGGATCTGCCCGAAAAAAGACCTCTCCCAGAGTGCCACCCGCATGTGCTGAGAATAAATGGAGATTTTCCGCAGATGATCTACAAAAGATAAAGTACTACCTGGAAGAGGAGCACATTCCTTCAGACACTGCCAGTAAGACTCCAGGAGAAATGCTGAAGCCACTTTCTGGAGCTCTTGAGCCTGCCCTGCAGCAGTTCTCTACTTTATTCTTTCCATGAGACTGCTGGGAGAGGGAGAAATTTTTTCCAAACTGCTTGAGAAGATCCACCAAAACCTGCTCTGTGCTGATCCCAGAGAACTTAAATCTTATATAGCTTCACGATGGCAAAATCCTGGGCTTGCTGAGGGCAGGCATATACCGTTCTGCCCACGATATTTAAATTTCTTTAGGTTTTCCTGGTGATTAGTAAATTTCTTTCAAATTTTTAGGCTTGCACAGATAGATAGAGACTGCCTAGAGCCCCCCACTGAATGATTTTTGGATCTATATGTTTACAGCGAGAGCTGGAGACCTGGCAACAGATCACTTCCATGTCCTTGTGCTCTGCCACGCACACATCTTCTGATTTTTTTTTAAATTTTTTTTTTCTCCCCCAGGCCGTCTTAACCGTGGTTTTTCCGGCCGCGATTCCAAGGCAACAGCCGTGAAGAGCAGCCCCAGTCTCCCCAGTACCGCTGGCACCGTGGGATCCATCACCTCTCGCTCGCTTAGCAGGAGCAGCCTCCAGAACAGGCCGTGGAAATAAGCAGCGGATCTCTTCCTCCGCTGAATAAACGAATATCCAGGTTCTGGGAACGCTGAGCAGTGCAGCCCGTTTGTCGTTTTAGGAATCCGCAGGAAAAAAAAAAAAAAAAGCAGCGGTGGTGTATAAATGGCAGCTCGGGTAAGGCTGGGGGAGCCGGAACGGTTGGTGTTTCGTAGGATCAGGAACAGTATTGCTTTGGCAAGGCTGACTTTTAGGTGCAGGATCAGGACAGAGTTGATAAAAGTGATTTTGTAGTGGAGGGAGGAAACTGGTAGTAAAGCCTGACCAGTAGAAACGGTTTCTGTGAAGCTTGTAGTTGGGACAAATGAATTTGTGTCTGTAACACTCTCCCTGTGCTGTGCCCGGAGCCGCAGACCGTGCCGACAGAACGCGTGCGAAGGTAAATGGGCCAGAAGTCACCCGTGAGCAAAACCTTTGGTGTTTTGTAGCAGAGATACAGACATTCAGCATCTTGCCAAAATATTGGAGAGAGGATTCCTTAAGGGTTTTTTTTAAAAAAAATATGTTAATGAACAGAAGTATTTGTAATAAAGATGGTTTTGGAAATAATGCCCAACGTGGCGCTGTAACGACAGCTGTGTTTGCTCATGGACAGTTTGTGAAACAATTCTGTGGTTTTAAAGGTGAGCTGGAGGAGAAAATAACTTTTTTTTTTTTTTTTCCCCTCTCATCTCCCTTGTTGTCTAGAAGGTTTGGCTTCTAGCTGTGCTTTTTCCTCTTTGTTCCTTGCTGTGGTTACAGAGAGCGACTGTGTCATGGTTTTTGTTCTAAATGAGATTCAACGAGAGAGTAAGGCTGCCAGATGTGCTGAGCAGGGCTTGAGCTGCCGTGTTTTAGGGCAAAATCATCTGCTGTGCTCCTCTTCTTGGCGTGCAGGCGGAGTATCCCCGTAGTTCCCCTGGTTTTGCTCCTTTTCCCATTTGCCAGAGCAGCTTCCTGGTCACTGGAGCTGCAGAAGACTACGAGGAGGAGCCCATCAAGTCGAGGTTAGGAGCCAGAATGTCGTTTTGCGTCGTAAAATGGTACTTGAAGGCAAACTGAATTCTTCAGCGGAGCAGCAAGGAGCTCTGCAGTTCCTGATAGAGGCTGGAAATGGATTCCCGACGCTGGAAATTTATTCCCAGCTACGCCCTTGCCGGTGTTTTTTGAAGCAGCTTCTTTAGGGTGGCAGAAGGGGGAATTTTCTTCTCACCAGGGTCCCTAAAACCTCGCAGGGACCGTGGATGTGATGACTGAACAGGGTGGGGAGATTTAATTGAAAATGAGCATCACGGCTTCCATCGAATCAGTGCTTCCACCGTACCAGTGTTGGCTGGGTGACCGAGAAATCATCTGAAACTACCCATAGACCAGGCAGAGTTGCCAGCTGGAGACATCGCAGGTGGTTACGGAGAGATCCTGCTCTCTAGCCTTCACCTACGGTATTGCTCAGCTTGGGCTTGCGGGGTTTTTTTGGCGTGGCTTTGGGGGTTTCACTTGGGTTTTTCCCCCCTTTTTGAAGTAGACAATCTCTACCAGACCCCAAAATTCACCCGTGGTGCGGATCATCAGGGGATAATTCCGGTAAAAGGGCAAGGTGAGAGAAATTGCACCTGATTCCCAGTTTGCCAGTTTAGGACTCAACACCTCTGAGCACATTTGTTGTGTTTATTGTGTCGTCGTGAGTCTTAAATCAGAGGAGTGCAGTGACAGGGGCTCCAGTCTCTGATCAGAGCCATAACCTCAACCTCTGGTGCTCCATTGGGATCCTCCAGAGGGAAAATAAGGGGACAAATCAAGGGGCGTAGGGCAGAGGCAGCATTTCAGATGGACTGAAGAATGCCCCTGGGTGTTCGAATATTTTTATCCAGAACAAAATCTGGTCGCAGGGAGGTAGCTTCAAGCTCCCAGCTTCCCAAAGAAGCCCTTGGACACTTGAAAATTGTCCAAAGCAGCTCTGACTTGTACAAACTGTTCTTCCGACCCATCCGCTAAGGATCCCGCGTGTCCTGGGATCCACAGGGAGCGTGTCCGTGTCCATGCGGACTATAAGAGTTGGGCTGGGGTATGAAGATTAAAAAAATTCTTTCAGCCCAGCCTTAGGAAGCCGGTTGTATCTCACCGTCTCACGAACTGCTCTGCTTTCTTACCTCCCTTCTTGTTCCCGCTTCTGGAAGGCTTTTTGTTGGTTTAGTTGTAGGTGTTTTTATCCTGAATGAAGTAGTTCATCCTCCTAGGTCAGAGCGGTTGGCTTGCTGTGGACCAGCAGCTTCAATTCTTGAGAGAAAAGTGGGTTTTAAAGAGTTTGAGCCCAAAGCAGGAGCCACAGGGATTTGCTTCTTGTCTGCACTCTTCACTCGCCACCTTTGGGATGCTGACTTACCTCTTGGGATGATCAATTAAAAAAAAAAAAAAAATAAAAGCTAAATAAACCTTTCAAAGGAGTTGGGTATTGAAGCATCATGGAAATCCCACATTTTCCTTTGAACATTGGGGTTTAACGTGGCTCAAGTCTGATCTTGATGTCCTGAGTCAGCATCCTCTACACCACTTCTATTTTTTTTTATGTCGTCGTGAAATAAAAATGTTGAACGAAGCAGCATCTCCTGCACAATTCAGTTGGTGCTTGAAAAATGATCCAACTCGATGGATTTATGTGGATGTGCACAGGAGAGGGGAGAGCTGAGAGAACCATTTATTCTCTGCTTGAAAAACAGTCCCACCGGTGCGCGAGGTGGAGGAATTTCAGCTCCGTGAGCACATCGAAGTGTTCTTACGGTTGTAAAAAAAAATATAAAACAGATGGACAGAACTAATCTGAGCTGTTTGAGATCCTCCAACAGGGCTTCAAAGGAAGAACTCAATGTATATTCCCATCATCTTGATGGATTTACATGTTTTTGGACTCTTGACGTGGTGGTGTTTGGAGGATGGAGTCAAACTATATAGTCTGGGCGTTTTAATTGTCTAATTTAATAAAAAATAAATTACACCCTATGGCCGAGTGGGTTTTTTTTTTTCAGTTTGAGCTTTGACAGTTACTGGAAAGCACAGAGCGGCACTGGCAGAAGCTGGGAGCTTGGCTCCCACTCCGCTCAAGTTTGCAGCAGGTGAGGAGGGACCTTTTTTTGGTGTTCAACGACAAAAATAACACAGAATAAATCAACGCTAACCCCAGTTCCTCGCCTCCCTGGGAGGGCTGGGGAAGGTGGGCTCCCCTCCTGTGGCATCGGAGATCTCTGCTTGCCCAGTCGGTATCAGACTGAACCTCTTCCCCTTCCATCCCCTGCTCCATCAGAAGGAAAACAAGAATTTTTTCTTTTGCATCCCACTTTTTTCATTCCTTTTTAATCCCCTTTTCGGGCCACGGGGCCAGCCCGTGCTGTTGGCTGCCGCCACATGCACCCATGGAAGCGCCGAGTCAGCCTCAAAAAAAACCTTTTCGCCACGATTTGGAAAAAGGAAAAACAACCAAAATAATTTCTCATCCTTCTTTACATTTATTTATTGTGTTCTTTTCCCTCCCCACAGCTAATTCAACCCCACTCCCGGTCAGTACGGATGGTCCCGCGCGTGCTCCATGATGACCTTCAGCGCCAGCCACGTCTCCTCGGCAGTGGGGATGATCTGCTTGGCGGGGAGCAGGAACCCGTAGCGCCCCGTGTCCCGCAGCTCAAAGGTGAAGGAGTATTTAATGCCCTGATTGTACGTCCAGTCGACGGTTGAGCCGCTGGCGGGATCTGAGCAGGGAAAAAACCACGAAGGATGCAAAACGTTAAGTCGTTCTGCATCGTGAAGGTGTTTCACGGGAACTTTTTAGTGTGAGTGATGATTTTGGTTCATTTGAGGGGGACCATTGCTCCCAGTTACTTACAGATGGTCTTGTAGATGCTGCCATACTGGAATTTGGTGCCGTAGAGAGAAGACAGAGCTGCCACCGCCCTCCCGGAAAGCTCGTGCTGGGAACACACACAGAAGAGAGAAAAATGAGCCAGAGATGGGGAAAGCCTGCGAGATACAGCCTGCAGGAAAGGTTGGGGTTTTTTTTTCAGAAAGGATGCCAAAGCTCAGGAGCCTTGGCCTTGGGGAGTCCCCAGGGGATTTTTCCCAGCTTGACAATGCCTCCTCCATGGTGGATGATGGAGGTTGGTCCTCCTTGGAGGAGGAGAGCAGCCTTGCACCATCCCACCCCTCTTCACCCCTCCACGTCAGCCCTACCAGTTCCGCTTGGTCGGGCACTGGGGTGCTGGTGTAGCCATAGGGGTAGAGCAGGAGCTGGGAGTAGCTGTGGATGGAGATGAAAGCCTTGATGTTGCCGTGGTTGTTCACAAAGTCCACGATGGCCTTCACCTCGGGTTCTGAGTTGGCATAGGGTCCATGATACGTGTCCGAGCAGGAGCTGCTGCTTGACCCACTCCCTGTGGTGACATGAAAACACGGTGTTGGGTGTTTGGTGGCAGTTGAGTGGCTCAGAGAGGCACAAAGGTGAAGAGCCTTTTCCATTTCCAAGGTCCAAGAGCTTTTCCCACCCATCAGCTGCTCAGTGGCCACTGAGAACCACTCTTGGGGCTTTTTCTAGATGTTTGTATGATGGCTTTCATCAGTGGTCCCCACTGTGCTGATCACTAGGGGACACCAAAGCCCTGGTAGAACCCAAACCCATGTCTCTGCCACGGAGACCAAATCCCATCTCTTCCTCAGGCAACACCAAAGCCCTGGTAGAACCCAAATCCATGTCTCTGCCACGGAGACCAAATCCTATCTCTTCCCCAGGGGACACCAGTGGATCTTTCTGAGCCACAACTGGCCTCAGAGTCTTACTGGGAGGGTAGAAACCCCCCCCGCAGGGTCAAGGGGAGACATCTGACCTCCAAAACCTGCGTCCCAGTTGCGGTTGGGGTCCACACCGACGCAAAGGGAGCCCGAGCGCTTGGACCTGGTCTTCCGCCACATGCGATTCTGGAAGGACAGAGTTGGCTCAGCTGGTGGCCAGGGCTGGAGCTCCACCAGCCTCAAGCTGGGGGGACTGATGGGTCATGGTGGTCCCCTTCCAACCCCATGGAAATGTAGACAAGGAGGATTTGAGCTTTCAGGAGCCTCCATGTACCCCATCCCGTGTGGCTGTGGGAGTGGGGAGAGGGAAGCCAGGTCCATACCTGGCTTTGGGTGTAGGCAAAGCCATCGGGGTTGGTGACGATCTCCAGGAAGATGTCCATCTCATCCAGGATGGAGGACAGACCTTCATCGTTCTCATGATCCAGGACAATCTAGAGAAGATGGTGGTTTGGGGCTCCATCCCCTCCATGGGGTCGGCCACCTAGCATCCACCGTGGCTGCAGGACTGTGTGGCCCTTTGGGGACATCAGCCACGTCCAGGAGGTGCCCATACCTTCCTGGCGAACCAGACGCCACTGGCTTGCGTCACCCATTCACGGGAGTGGATTCCAGTGTCAATCCAGATGGCCGGGCGATTTGTCCCCCCTCTGCTGAACTGGAAGAGCAGAGAGGTGGGGGTTGCCTTTGTCCCCAGCCCCGCTCCCCGCTCCGGACCCCTGTGAACCCCAAATCCTCACCTTGAGCACGTAGAGGGGCCGGTTCTCCGTCGAGCGGCCGATCTCCAGCTTGCTGACCAGGTTGGGGTTCTCGGCCACCAGCAGGTCCATGAAGTCATAGATCTGGGGGAGAGGGATGGGGGGAGTCACGCCTGGCTCATGTGGTGCAAAGGTTTTTGCATGATGCCATTTTTCCCCCCAAAAAATGCCCCAAATCTTGGACTTTCTCACCTCGTCCAGGGTGTGGTAGGCGGCGT